TCTAACTTTAGAAAAAAAAGGAAGCAGCAAATCTAAAATCTCCAACTTTAGCAAAATGAAGAAGCAAGAATTAAGTATAAAATCTATCTTTAGCATAATAAAGAAGGAAGTATAAACAAACAGTTAGCAGCATGAGGGTCTAGGACAAAGTGAAAGTAAGGTTTGTATGCATGTACAAATAATGGGCTTTTTTTGGAGTGAAAGTGAACGCAGGAAGATCAGGGGTCCCTTAAAACGGAAACGTGGCCTTTATGTAAATGAGAACAGCTGCATCAAATTATCCTGTAGAACTGCAGAGCTGCTCAATGTAGGGTACACTATGCACGATCACGCTTATACGCAGGCCTCGCTAATGAACCCATAACGGCATGATAAAGTCAATGTGGGAATAGGGATGAATGTTATGTTCTAAAGTGATTTGCTGTTTTTTTTAATGTGTGCGATGAAAAAAGGTTGGAAAGCAGTAAAAAAAATCATCAAATCAGGTCAAAAAAACACTTAACAAAGCTATGCGCAAGTTCTGTATAAAGGAAACAATGAGGTATAATTTTATCATTTCAATTTTAATGAGCTGGATGCTTGAAATTCAATTTGACAGTTGACTGGATGGGGAATGAGAATCATATTAAGGACTAAATGTATTGCTAAGTGATTTGCTTCGATAAGGAGGAGGCAGACTGGCAGAGTGTGGCCTTCCTGAGTGGAGTTTGCATGTTTTCCCTGTGTCTGCGTAGGTTTCCTGTGTGCTCCGGTTTTCCCCTACCTCCTAAAAAAATGCACAATAGGTATAAACTTTAATCAGTGCGTGAATGGATGGTGTTGATTGGGTGCTTCGATGGGCCAGTGTGTTCGCCGTCTAGCTCCTGTCATCACCTTGTGTGTGAACTCTGAACAGTGTAAAGCGCTTTGGGTGACCTTGGTCTGTAAAAATGTGCTATATAAATAAAGATTACTTACTTAATACTTACATATACAATTTCAAATGGAGTGGGGATTTCCATGGCCACGAAGACATGCTGAAAGCTATTCTGACATTGAATCCACCCACCTTACAGTAATAATAACAAGAAGAATGTGAATAGCTACGGACGCTTTGATTTTTAAGGAGAAACTCACATTGAAATGATATGAAATGAATTATTAAGAATATTGATAAAATAAATCAATATATTCTGAGAAGGAGTACTGCAGACTATATTTGAAGATGTGTGTGTATTGTCCATGATTTAGAAAGGATCTAAAACACTTCTTTCTGCTCCTTTTCAACCATGTGGCCGGACTACAATGATTTGTAATGTAATTGTAATATGTTGTTTACTGTCATAATACCGTCCCCCATTGACATAAATGAATAAATATTTGAACTACAGTAATATTTTTCTTGTTTTCAAATGACAGCAATCCAGTCAATGAGAGCGGTGGAGCAGATAGGTTATCAATTTCCCGACCGGGCAATAGATCAATAAGTACATAACCTCGCTGGTAGTAAAGATAATGATTGTCTGTTTTGTTGTCAGCCTGTCCAGAAAATCTCCAGCACTGACTAATAGACTGTGTCCGCCTCCTTATGTCCAACAAAGTTATGTCGGATAACTAAGTGGCAAATCTGTAGCCTCTTAATTGACGGATAAGAGCTATGTTCTAGGGCTGCACAATTGCGATATTTTGAAGTAGGCGTTTCATTTTTTTATATAACCAAGAAAGACTCATAGAGATTTCAGAATCTCTTCTAGGAAATGTTCTTCCTCACAAATTTCTTAAAGTCAGACCAGAGTTGTGCAACACATTTTTACAGTTTATTATGAATAAGATGAATAAGAAAAGATGTCTCATTGCTTTTCCTTAACAAGACAAAAGATGCTGTACTTGCTTTTGATAAATCTTCAAAATATACTTAAAACAAGAGACATTTTCCCAAATCCAAGTGATTTTTGTCTTTAGTCCCTTTTTTGTTGGCAAAGAAGTGAAATATCTGTAGTCTAATTTGGCTAAATTGCAGTTTAGTTTTGATTGCGAGTAACAAACGCAAATTACTCTTTCAATTTATCAATTAATTGTTTAGATGCTAAATGGTCCGCAAAAAAAAAGAGTTTTAGAATTAATTGCTTAAATGGCTTGCAAGATCAAGGCTATGCTCAACTCAGAGCAGCCGTCCTCCTGTGGACTCACCACCTGCAGAGGGTCAGTGAGGGGCTGGTGCTATGAGACTTGGGTGGCATCTCTGATTGCCACCCCCCTGACCCAGAAATGGATTAAAGGGTAGAAAATGGATGGATGGATGGATGCTTAAATGGAGTGCAGTTTTTAATCTTCCTTTGAGTACATGCTGGCTGTCTTTACAAGATTTGCCAATGGGACAAGCCATTTAGTCTTATTTCACAAATTGTTGCTTTATTTTCTTATTCAAAAGGGAGACATTTCTTTTCTTCTTCTTTTAAGGCATTCCAAATATGCTCAAATTACTTTACATTTAGCCAAATTTACCATAACACGCTTTGCTTTGTTTAATTCTACGTATGGTAGAAATAAAAAGATTCATTGTTTACTAAAATATTTACTATTTACATAATCAATAAACTTGTTACAGCCCTAAATGCTATTTTTAAGACTGTTCAGACAAATGCATTGAAGAAAATGTGGGCGTCTTCATTTGTTATAGTAATTTTTTTTAAAGATGTTGAGGGTTTTACGATGCACTGTAAAAGTCTGTTGTGGCGAGTGGGCGATTGAGCGATGGAACAAATCTCCAGCTATGACCGCTTCATTGCGCGTCCGTGTGTATGGAAACACTTGAGGAATTCACTCACTTTTACTGAGACACGGCTATTGACCGAATTGTGTGACTGACAATAGGCCAGTGCGGTGCAATAACGCTGTCATTGTCAATGGCTCTTGAACATGACAAGCCAATACCTCTACAATGGTCGGAATGGTTTCGGCGGCTGTGGTTAAAGAGAATAGCCGTAGATAATGAAAAGTTGAGCTGTCCTCCTCGGAATCATCCAAGCTGAACCCCGGCCGGTCACGATTCAGAAATGAAAGTCGCCTACAAGGTCGTGTTCGCTAAATCCATTCTCTCCTGGTGTCACGGTGAGAATCTTAACCTCAAGGTGAGCTGGTCTATTTGCATTCTGCCGCTCTGCCATAAAAAATGCATGCCCCTGATGAGAGGACTTCCATGAGCGAGCTGTCTAAACCTGAATACCCTTTTGGACACAAGCAAGCAGAGATTGTTACAGCAAACATGAGGATTTGGCACAATGAGGGGGAAGGTTGACATTTTACAAATAGGGCAAAAATGTGGCGTAATAAGACAGTTGATGTTGAACCGCAATGGAGTGTAATAAATGGAGAATAACAATATGGGTCAAAGTGACATGCGAGTGTGATTTTGAGTGATGTGACAAGGAAAAGGCATGTACCCAGTTTTTTTTTCCAACAGAATGATTGCAATGTTGGCTAATTGTAGTGTTGTAAAGCCAAGTACAATGCAGGCTGATAAAATGTAAATAGACATAGACCTGTAGCAAGCAATAAAGTGCAACAAATGACTGTGAAGTAGTTATTCACAATGCTATAGCTGGAAAAAAGTGAGTACAAGGAAAATATATTAGCTTATTACTAAACGTTAAGCTAGCAACCATTGAGTAAGTAAGTAAGTAAGTAAGTAGTAACCATTAAGTAAGTAAGTAAGTAAGTAAGTAAGTAAGTAAGTAAGTAGTAACCATTAAGTAAGTAAGTAAGTAAGTAAGTAAGTAAGTAAGTAGTAACCATTAAGTAAGTAAGTAAGTAAGTAAGTAAGTAAGTAAGTAGTAACCATTAAGTAAGTAAGTAAGTAAGTAAGTAAGTAAGTAAGTAGTAACCATTAAGTAAGTAAGTAAGTAAGTAAGTAAGTAAGTAAGTAAGTAGTAACCATTAAGTAAGTAAGTAAGTAAGTAAGTAAGTAAGTAAGTAAGTAAGTAGTAACCATTAAGTAAGTAAGTAAGTAAGTAAGTAAGTAAGTAAGTAAGTAAGTAGTAACCATTAAGTAAGTAAGTAAGTAAGTAAGTAAGTAAGTAAGTAGTAACCATTAAGTAAGTAAGTAAGTAAGCAAGTAAGTAAGTAGTAACCATTAAGTAAGTAAGTAAGTAAGTAAGTAACTAAGTAAGTAAGTAAGTAGCAACCATTGAGTTAGCAACTTGGGTTTGTTGTTTTAAATCAGCCAAACTAAGACTAATAAATTTGAAAAAACAGACGAAAACATATATTTAAATCATTTGTCAGCTCGGGTGTGTAGTAAAACGTGTTTAAATGACAAAAATGTTGTCAAGTCTACATACGCTAATTTTTAACAATATGCTAATTGGTGGCCTAATTAATAAACCATGCTTCCATCCTGTAGGACTTGCTTACAGATAGCTTAAGTGAGATAGGTTTTGCTGCTTTATATATAGCTTAGTAACTACTTAATGAAAGCTGTTATTGGACACGCAGGCACCCCGTTAAGAAGTTGTAATTACATTTGACATAAGTGTGGTTTGGTGCAGTGGGTGTACCGCCGACAAAAGGGGCTGCTAACAATTTTCCATGGCGCTAGTTTGTACCACATTCCCCCGCGGGCTCTGTGTGCAAGCTAGCGGTGGTTATAGCTGCTGAAATGCGAAAAAGTTGAGTCCCAAACAACAACAATATGCATTCATGTTAAGCACCCCGCGATAGGGAGCCATCGGATCCCTGTTTTGGCTTTTTTTTTAAGAAGTCAGCAAGACACCTCCACTGCGCTGGAACAATATATAGCACAGCATCCGATGTGTGGCTTATCGGGAGGCTTAAGAACGCTGCCAAATCGCTCCAATCTAACACAAAAGACAGAAAGGATACCCCATTCCCGTGTCTACCCCCCCCCTCCCCTCTCTCTTCGACAAGCTCCTACAGCACCACCGCCCCCTCCTCGCCCTCGATCTCCCTCCATAGCCTCATAAATGTTGGAAAGAGTTGGTCATTACGCGCGGATGTCTCACCTTGGCTACGCAGGCTGGAGCGCACGGCGGCGTGAGAAGGATGGTTTGTTTACGCGTAGTTAGTCCGTGGTAATCCGTACTCGAGGGGGTGTCTAGTGTGTGTCCACTGCTCTGACTGAGTGAGCTTGGGCTGCTGTTGCTGCTGCTGCTGCTGGTGGAGACTGGAGAGTGTGCCAAGCGAGTGTGAATGCGCTTCTAGCTGTAATTACGCATGGGGCTTCCGGCGTGGGGAAAAAAGGTGTCACAATAAAAGCGAAAGGGGTAGGTTATAATGACATTGTGTTGTTATTGTGACTGTTTTCATATTTGATTAGGAGGTCTTTATAGCACTGGATTTGTGTAAAAGCATTCGACCTTACTGTATGTCTGTGTGTGCATGTTTGCATTGCCATAGACATGATCCACCTGGCATGGAGAAGAGCCTTTCAACTGAAATGTTCTTTCTTCCCAAGGGTTAGTTAGTGGTCTATGCGAGTTTATTTGTACAACACAGTTCATACAAAAGGCAACTTAAAGTATTTAACAAGTTAAGAAAAAGAAACATTAAAATCACTCAAGGCATAATAAATAATCACAGGTCATTAAACATAGTGACAATACAATCCTTTAGCTGTATACACAGTAGTAAGTAAGTAAGTTAGTAAGTTTTTATTTATATACCGCCTTTTCACTGCAGATCTGAGCCTCAAAGCGGTTTACAATTGTTAATTTTTTTTGGGCATTTGTCTCTCACTCCACACAGAGATGGGAGCGGGGCCAGTACAGGAGGCGCATGCCAGAACTATTGGACATATTTTTAGTGGTAGGGGAAACCGGAGTACCCGGAGGAAACCTACGCAGACACGGGGAGAACATGCAAACTCCACTCAGAAAGGCCCTGGTCCGACCGGGATTCGAACCCAGGACCTTCTTGCTGAGAGGCGAGAGTGCTATCCACTCAGCCACCGTGCCGCCCACACAGCTAAGAAGGAACTGTTAATAAAATGTTTAACTTTTGAACATCGTCAGAGTAGACTCCTGTCTCACATTTTCAGGAAGGCTCCTCCAGATATCAGCTGCATAAATCTGAAAAGCTGCCTCCACATGTTAGTCCTAACACCAGCAGGAGGCCAATCTCTGTGCTCCTCAGAGTCCGAGTTGGTTCAATATGGCACAAACATGTCACAGATGCACTTTGGTGTGAGGCAATAGAGAGACTTGTACACAACAGAGTTGTTCTATTCTCTGAGCCACAGGCATTGAATAAATCCCCATGTGAGTGATCCTGCATGTTTCTTTTCTTTAATTATATTGAAGATATTCACATCTGACAACATGTGGTCATATTGTGATAGTAATCGGGTCCCATACATGACTTTCATAATGACTTTCTACAGCCACAATGGGGGAAATCCTCATTAGCTATAATGTGAGAATTAATAGCATTGTTCTTGTTTGCTATTTTCTGGCTAATACAAGGACATTCTGCATTTCCTGATGTAGCCAGAGTCAAACAAATATTTATTCAGATATTTAATTCGTTGTCTCTTTGTTTCCTGGTTTGCAAGATGACTCAAAAAAGTGGATTCTAAACACATTGTTTCATTTTGGTGATGATCCAGATCACGACTTGGCAGAGGTATGTGCTCTGCAAGGGCTTTTTAGTTATATGTGTCCACTTCTTTGTTATCCACAATGTAGATTTTATTGAGATTATAGGCACACTTCCGATCCTTTATCATCTGTTCTAACTTGACTGTCCAGACTGCCTCCACGCGTGTCCCCTTCATAGACATGTATATTTACAAAGTTGCCACGAGAGGGCGCCATTGCCCCCTTCTGTGTGATGTTTCTCGTGGATCCCTTTGATGATTAAACACCACAACGGATGAAAGACTCATCTTTGACTACTCACATTAAAGTGTAGCGTCTTTGGAATATTTTTTTCCCCACATTTTGAAACGCAGTCCATGCAGTTTTCCAATGTCTCATTTGAACTTGTGCAGCACCTTGTAAGTCTGGCTCTCTTTTTTTTATTCTCAAACATTGGAAAAGACCACACTTCTCTCAAATATGATTAAAATAATGAATGTTAAATATTCTATGACATAGGGACAGCTACATCAGTCTTGTGACATATTTTGGTCATACATTTTGATCAATGCCAGTCAAAGATGAGACATGATTCCACTGCTTTATTCAATTCCAACCATTACCATTACCATAAACAATCAATTTATGTATTTTTCTGTTGCCGTGTACAATGGCCACCAGCCATGTTTGAAAATGATGCACATGTCTGTAACTTTGGAACCAAAATGAGAGTGAATAGTGGTTTTGTAGTGTACCAAGAAAAACTTTGATAAAAACTTATATTGTATTTTTTAAATTATTTTATTATTTTCTTTATTATTATTTTTAGTGCTGAAGAGTGATGTAACAGTATCTGTGGCTCTTTTAAATTATACGTACCAAATTGACAAATTACTAGTTAATGTCATTACAAAATATTTGCTAGTCTTTATTAATGATAATTTGTCTGACTAATATTAGATTTATGAAACACATAGTCCATTTGGGCATTATTTAGAAGATAGTTGGATATGTATAGGTTCATATCTCATACGTGTCTACTGTTTCTTTGTCATTAAGCAATACATTTGATCGTCAAAGTATAGTATATAGTTGTTATAGTATATAGTAGAGTTGTGCCATACCTAATATTCACTTATCTTGTGTTGTGTGCGCCTCATTCCAACTGTTCAGAAACTTGTAATGTAACACTGGAATTTCCCCACTGTTGGACGAATACATCTGAATGATACAACTTGAGTTTTCAGCGGAACCTTTCTCTTCTGTCTCTGTTTCCGCTACGTGGTAATAGAGCGCTGCACTCCTCTCCCCAAACATGCGCCATTGAAAACAAACGTAGCCCAGACGGTTGCCTATTTTCACAGAACAATCCTGCAATCTTACATATTTATCTGGCATTTAGCTGACTTTTACACTCACAAACAGACATGGAGAGCATTTTAGAACAGCAGCGGCGCTATCACGAAGAGAAAGAGCGGCTTATGGACGCGAAGACTAAGGAAATGCTGCACAAAAAGTCCACGGTAAGAAGTTCAATGAAACGTTAGCTGTAGCATCGGTGTAAATAACTCTTCACTCATAACCATGCATTTATGTGTTTATTGTCCCTGACAGCTGCGGGACCAAATAAATTCTGACCACCGGACGAGAGCAATGTTAGACGTAAGTTGTTTTAATTGTAAATTCGATGCTAAATCTTGTATGCTAACAGCTAAGAAAATTACGATTATGAATTTGATATTATATAATCTATGAATGAGGGATTTACAGATCCTGTCCGTCCATGCCCGATCCCGATAATTGATACGTGCCGCTACTATTTAGCTAAAGGAATGAAAGTCACAGATGATTTTTTACAAAAGGTGTCTGTTTGATTTACTGCCCTTCGTTCTTATTATTCTATGTGGAATTCTGGGTTAATTACAGTAATTAGTCTAACATTGGTCTGATTGAATGACTTTCTAAATATTTTCAGACAATTTATTCTTCCCTTATACATTTATACATTTGTAATCTTGTAAACTTGACTTAAATTATCATGAGCCACGCAGTTGTGAAATCGTAAATTCACAAGAAATTCCCAATAAATATGTTATAATCTGCCAGATAAACAAAAGGATGTTGTAGTGATGAACTCTATCTAATGCAGTAACGTGTACTGAAATCAGGTGGTCATTAAACCACTGGCCTTTGATTTGTTGTTGGAAAAAACCCTACATAATAGTTGAGGGAGCAGAAATGGGTATGACACCTTAACACGTAACCTAATTTGGAATATAACTATGTGTACATCCCTTTCCAACCTTCATTGTTACCAGATCACGCCACCAAGCATCCACATATTGTGCCTTTGTATTAAACCATTGTCATTTGTTTTCTGCAGAGGTATATGGAAGTGTGTGCAAACCTCAGAGACACTTATGAAGACAAAGACGGGTATGTAATAAAATGATTTTAATATCCCAGTGGTTTCACAAGGACAGTGCATGTAAGCTATGTCTGCATTTACCCTGTCGTCATCAGGATGAGGCGGGACGAGCTCGGAGCCATCTCTGGACCCAATGAGTTCGCAGAGTTCTACAATCGACTCAAACACATCAAAGAGTTTCACAGGAAGCATCCGAACGAGGTGCAGCTCCAGAGATCTGTGCGCCACGTCGACTTCCAGAGCAACATTTATTTATATCTGCATTTTCTTTCAGATCTCCATTCCGATGTCTGCAGAGTTTGACGAGTTATTCAAAGCCCAGGAGAACCCCACTGAAGAAGCTCTGAGTAGGTTCATACCTGTTTTAAGAACGGCCACTGGGTTTAGACCAGGGGTGTCAAACTGGGTTCAGAAAGGACCGGTGTGGCTGCAGGTTTTCATTCCTACCTCCAACCAAGCAGGAGCACTCCAGACTCACCCCATTCCCTCAATTTGTCAAGTTAAGACTGGACTCGCTTGAGGAAATGGGTGGAGTCTGGTGTGCTCCTGCTTGGTTGGAATGAAAATCTGCTGTCACATCGGCCCTTTTGAGAACCGGTTTGACACCCCTGCTTTAAACCCAAATCCAAACATTTCTCTTGATATTATGACTAAAGTTAAATAATCGGTGTCACACATTTCTGTAACAACGAAAGCCATTACAAAACAAGCATTTCATTTAGGCTTGACCATTAATTTGTTTAAACGGTTCAACTGTAGTGTACACAATAATACATGTCTGTAATTGGCAAAACAATTTCTTCCAACCTCCGCAGACAAGAAAATGTCCAGGCCAGGTCCGATCGCACGGGATTCCCATATTTGCTTTTTTTAATTTACATTATTAATGATCTCAAACCTGTACAGAATTCACAATGTACAATGCGAAAAGGGTCGCAAAAGTTGAAGGGGAAGTAAAAGTTGACATTTTTTTGTTTTGCGTAGACCTGGTGGAGTTCTCCGACGAGGAGGGATACGGCCGCTTCTTGGACCTGCACGACTGCTACCTGAAATTCATCAACCTGAAGGGCGCAGAGGTACGCAGGCAGACGCATGAATAATTCACCGGGATCCAATCCACTTACCTCTGTCTGCTTGTCCTCCACAGAAACTGGACTACATCACCTACTTATCCTCATTTGACCAGCTCTTTGACATCCCCAAAGAGAGGAAAAATGCAGAATACAAAAGGTACGATGCTTTGATATGCCAGGGAAGCTATCGGTGACATTCGGGAAACTGAAAATCTTGCAAACGGGGAGTTCATAAAGACTTCTGTCAGAGGCCGAATTCATACAGGTTCTTGTTTTAGCATAGGGACTTTTTGCACTTGTATTCCAATGTGGTTTTACTGAAAGTGGCAAATAAAATTAATCTGAATCTACAATGAGAGATGGTTGGGGGTCAGCCTCATTGGAAAATTTGCAAAAAGAGCCAGTGTGCACAATGGCTTAAAAAACAGTTCAATAAAAGGTAATTTTGGATAACCCTAAATCACAACAGCACTTGTCTCAGAGGACTTCACAACATTTTCTAATCATCTCAAACAGATCAGACAATCTAACGTTACAGATGTAGTCAGTCAAGTTCAATCATGTCTTTTCAAATAGTAATGGAATTGACCAGATGCCTATAGTCTTCAAAAATGTATACAAATTATTTTGGAGCGGACCGATAAATATAAACCAATGCGATTGGTTCATCCCCAACGAACCAATGGGGTGCGTTTACCCCCTTCACCCTCTTCCTGTTTCTCGCGAGTGCGCCTGAGTTATCGGATTTTCTAAAACCTAAAAGGGTTGAACAGAAAATGCCAATTTCCCGTTTGCCACCCACTCTCCCTGTTGTGACAAAGAAAAGAAAATGCTGGATGTTTGGTTTGGTGGAGAGGCGAGGGGAGGGGGAGTGTTTTTCGAGTTGGTGCTACGGCTATGCTAACCACATCGCTCACTGCACCTTTTTAATAACAAGAATTGCATATAGTCATTGGTGCAAAGGGATTGAGATGACCTGTATCCATAAATGTTGATACATGTTCTGAATCATCACTGTTCTCGGACCCTTTTCCATCGGCAAGGAACAGTTTAAAAACAACTTGAAGACAAACACACACTAAAAAACACAGGGAAGCAATTGACACTATGAAAATCAAGCACATACTAAAAGCAATAAAGTGCTAGACCACTTTAAGCCAGTAGCCGCCTCAGTCAACATAAGGCCACTTTTAGATGAATAAATAAAGCCAGAGGATTGATTTTATTGAAACAGAAAGAAGATTGAGGAAAGACTGAGGTGGTGAATAATCGAGTGAGTGTGAAGTTTTATTGTATTTTATTGTATGAAAAGCGCTTTATAAATAATGTTTGATTGATTGATTGAAGTGTTGTTTGGCTCTGGCAGGTATCTGGAGATGCTGCTGGAGTACCTGCAGGAATACACCGACCGGGTCAAGCCTCTGCTGGACCAGAACGACCTCTACAACAAAGTGCTGACCGAGTTTGAGAAGAAGTGGGACAACGGCACCTTCCCCGGCTGGCCTGTGGGTGGCTTCTTCTCATTTCGTATCCCGACAAATCAGACAAGAGTTGTTTTTGAGTGATTGCCATTTTTTTTCTTTTCCACCCTTAGAAAGAGGCTAGCAGCGCTTTGACACACGCCGGAGCTCATCTGGACCTCTCTGCGTTCTCGTCCTGGGAGGTAAATACTTCAGTTTCTACATTTTTGACAACATTCCTGAAATGCTGCTATGATTTTCCTGAATGTTCTGTATGTGCCGCTGCAGGAGTTGGCTTCGTTGGGTCTGGACAGGCTGAAGTCTGCCCTCATGGCTTTGGGCTTGAAATGTGGAGGGTAAGCCAGGCACACAGTAGATCAGATTGAATTTATATTTATATACATTCTGCTCACCGGCCAATATCAGTTGCTCTATTCTGATTGGGTTGTTTATCTTTCAGAGCCTGTCTATAGATACAGACTTTTAATCCCATATGATATACAATATTTCCCAGCAAAAAAAATCGGTAAAAACATTTTGGCCCCTTGCTTCCGGCTCTGTCCTATTGGAACAAACGTGCAACATAATTGTATTTTTGATCAAATGGGGTGGCACTGAAGGTAAATGGCATTTTGATTCCACTTATTGATTGTTGAAAAATCTTCAGTCTCATGTTTGCAATGTGTGGGTCTCGATTTCAATTTATGAATTGGATGTAAAATTGATCTAATCAATTACAGAAATTATAACACAAAAACTATCATCATTTTGTAATAAAAATACTATTATTTTATCTACATTGTTTTATTAGCTGCTCCTGTTGTTCTGTCAGAAAGTGGCCGAGACTCAATCTCTGCCTGACCAAAATCTAAACCAGAGGATAAATTACAAGTCTTTGTTTTGACAGAACTCTGGAAGAGCGCGCACAGAGGCTTTTCAGCACTAAAGGAAAGTCCCTGGAGGCGCTGGACTCATCTCTGTTCGCCAAGAACCCCAAAGCCAAGGGCCCAAAGAAGTGAGTGCTCGTCCAAACGCCTCAATGTCTTAAAATCTCAAAGCTGCCTTTTGCTAACGGTCCAACGCTTTCACAGAGACACGGAGCGCAACAAGGAGATTGGCTTCCTGGAGTCTCAAGTTTATGAATACGTGGAGATCCTCGGGGTAAGTGAATCACATTTTGGTTACGTTGGGTAAGACGCACAGCCATTTTTAAAATCATTTGAAAGCAGCAACATATAACAATTTTCATTTCAGTCTACACCGTCGTTTAGAATGAAATGTTGAGTCAGGTTGAAAATTATGTTTATTCAGGCTTCCTTTTTGCCTAACAAAGGACCTTGGCCGAAACTTTGCACATCTTTGAAACTTTGAAGCAAACCACAGTGGTATGCAAGTATAGTTGTCCTTTTCAAAGTTGCAAAGCTGTCTTGGAGCCTTACCGGCTCTGCACCTGTCACAGAGACGGATGTGCAAAGTTTTCTGCTTTTTAAAGATGTTTGAGTTGGATGGATACAGATTATTCCCTAATACCTTGTTCTCTGAACATATTCCAACTGGATCCAAAAAGCGGCCAAGCCCTGACCTGTGGTCGTGTTTTCTCGTGTCGCAGGAGCAGAGGCAGCTGACCCACGAGAACGTGCAGAGGAAGCAGGCGCGCACAGGCGAGGAGCGTGAGGAGGAAGAGGAGGAGCAGATCAGTGAGAGCGAGAGTGAGGACGACGACAACGAGATCATCTACAACCCCAAGAACCTGCCGCTGGGCTGGGACGGGAAGGTGAGGGGCTCTCCACAGGGGCCATGATAGAGGAGGAGTGTGAAGGGCCAGGCTGAATGGAAGTGGTCAAGAAATATGGGTCTGTTCAGTCACGCTTAGGGCCAGAAGTATTATTTATTATATTGATCTAAGATTGTTAATCCAGTCACATTTCTATCGTAAAACAGACGAATAATGGCTTTGATTAATACTCAAAACCGTTTCAGACTGGATTAAAGTGAATGTCTGTTACTTTCCCAATTGTGGAGAAGAAGTTCCCTGTTTACCCCTCTCTGATTGGACACAATTATTTCAAATCTTTAATCAAGAGGCGAGCTCACTCTCCAGCAGTAGATTGCAGGGAGGTTACTGAGGACACTAAAAGCATAGATTCAATTTATGTGGATTTAAATGTACATTCTTTTAAAATTGTTTTAAATTTTAGAATAGAATTTTAAAAAGTAGTCAAAATGTCCATATATCTTCATCTTAAAAACATGGTTTGATGGGATTCAATATAAATACAGTTAGCTTTACCAGAGCACTACGAGAGAGCTGAAGCCTGATGCAGAGTGGGACACATCAGTCTTGTATGTTCGGACCTGTACACTATCACTATTTTCTACTCCTGTTCAGTGTTTTCCTTTGAATAATAATACATTTTATAACTTGGATGTCTTTCTAGATACTCATGGTTACCCTCCTTAAAAGGAAAAGTACATTTAAAGACAGTTAAAATACAAAGTTAAAAAAACTGCATGAAACAGAGTATTATGTAGTTATGATGTAAGTGAATTAGGCTTGTCCAAAGTCTGCCTGCGCTTGTTGTTGCACCAAAGGATTAACAGATTAAACGGACCCTTCGTGTTTTTGTTTGTTTGTGGAGTGTTACAAAAATATGTCACTTATTGCTTCATGTCATTACACAATTTGGAACAGTTTTATTGAATGTAATTTCCTCTCCAGCCCATTCCATACTGGCTGTACAAGCTCCACGGGCTCAACATCAACTACAACTGTGAGATCTGCGGCAACTACACCTACAGGGGCCCCAAGGCGTTCCAGAGGCACTTTGCGGTGAGGCCCAGTTCTCCTAAGCACCACAACCCAGCCTCCACCCCCACACCCCATCACTGACCTCTCTGTGTTTCGCTCTGCTGTGTTCCTCAGGAATGGAGACACGCCCACGGCATGCGCTGCCTGGGTATCCCCAACACGGCCCACTTCGCCAACGTCACACAGATCGAAGACGCCGTGTCCCGTAAGTGCTCTGTTCTATGCTCAAAGTCCAGGCAAAATGTGTTTTCACCTTTGAACCCATCTAGAAGGTGCCCAGAACAATGTACTAAACCCCTTTGGAAATCCTGGTTGGGCACAAGTGTATAATTTCCATCATGATTCAAGATGTTTCACAATTCTCCAAAACCTCGATTAGATTTTAGGGTCACGATTCATTTCAATTCTCGATTATTATTATTATTTTTTAACAGCAAACTAGCGTGGTTCAAGTACGCTAATTAAATGTTTTAATCCAGCACTTTCCACTGAATGAGGCTGCAGATTAGCTGCTATAACCCTGTCAATATATATGTATCATTTATACTATGGCTAGTTAGTGCCTAATCTATCCACTGCAAGCTGTCACCATAGACCGTCATTGACTTTGCATTGAAACAGGACGCTACACATGGTCCGGTGTGAACGCCCCATAACACTCTGAACCAATGCAAAACTGGGAAACCCCACGTAAACAGAGTTTAAATGTCCGAGCATCACCGGTGACCAAATAGAGCACATATATAAGGCGCATGCGATTGATTGTTTATATGGATTGAAGTCCATATAAACAATCGGGTCTTACTGCCTCAGTCTTTGATTTGGGGGGTACAACTACTCACAAGAGCACTTAATCTAACTTTAATGCAGTCTTGTTTACCAAAAACACCCGAAAGCATCGGTCCGCCACTTTACATAGTCCAGGTTAACCACCACCGTTCCGGGCACGCGCACACACGCGCTACAATGATCGTCGATCCTCTTTGATTTCGAAGCTTGAGAGCATAACGTAATTTCGATCAATTTTGATAAAATAATCAAAATTGTGACACCCCTAACATTCAGAAAACTGCACCTGAACAGGCTTCGTTTTCCTCTTTACTCTAATTCTCTAATCACAACAAAACTTGACACACTGGAAGTATTTATAAAAAGTAGTTCCCCCTTTTTGTTTTTTTAGTTGTTCCTTGCTGATGGAGCAGGGTCTAAGGACGTTGATCCTCCGGGACGTTTATTCACATTCATTAATATTTATGGGCAGTGGTCATCCCTCTCCCTGTACCAATAGACCCTAGACAAATGGCTCCTATGCGTTTGTTAATGTTGCATTTCCCGTGTTCTAACGGTTTGATTCTTTGATCTGTCGTTGGAGATTCGACAATTTTGTAAAGTCCTCCGAGACGACTCTGTTGTGATTTAGGGTCATACAAAAATGAATTGAATTACATTGTTTTGTATTACATATGAATCAAAGAGGATCACATTTCAGGCATGGCGACTTTGTTTCCTTCAAGATTCAATTGAAATTCACTGCTGTCTTTCCATCGGATGGAAAGACAGCAGTGAATTTCAATTGAATCTTGAAGGAAACAATAAGGGGATGGAATCCATCCCCTTATTTTGAATGCACAGTGTTGTAAAAGTCTCTGGAGGTGGAAACTGCAAATACAGAGTTGGAATCCTTTATTCACAAAAACGCATTGTTCCAACTTCATTGCAAAACTGTCGGCATTTTAATTTGGTGGTAAAATGTTTCCAAACCAATCCATCCAAATGTATGACAAGCTTAACTTCGGTGGTATTCGTTTTCAATATGCAATTATTTCAAGAATGGAAACCCAGTTAATATAGTCTACCCTTTACTTCCAGTGCCAAAAGTTATTAAACATTATTTTGACAGGAAATGACTTTACAGCCGCCATTTTGTGATTTACAAAAACACAGCTGTGTCCAGGGATTGGGTTTGGAGGACATTTGGTTTAAAAGTTATTTGAAAAATGCATCAAATTTACTAGTTTTCTCTTTTGGGTCTTTAATTTGACTTGACTGAACCTGGAGCATCTCGCCTGATAATGCTTTCTCTTATGTGGGAAATTGAAAAATGACTTATTTTGTCTCCAGTGTGGTCAAAGCTCAAGTCCCAGAAGGCTTTGGAAAGATGGCAGCCAGACACAGAGGTAAATCTTTGGTACTGTAAATACACAAGATATTTCTGTATTTAAGCATTAATGTGTGTTATGTGATCACAGGAAGAGTACGAAGACTCCATTGGAAATGTGGTGAACAAGAAGACATACGAGGATCTGAAGAGGCAGGGGCTGCTCTAGATTATTATTATTAGCCGTTTTATCACACCTTTGATTTTTTTATATGTATGTAATGTTTTACCCTCATCTTTTTGTAAGATGGTCAAATAAAATACAGAGAACCATGTCCATATTTCTGTCCCTGAAATATTTGTTTTTAGAAAAAATGTATTTACTTTTCAAGTTTGAGGAGAACCCTGCTTATGTTTAAGAACTAGCTCTGAATGTGAACAACTTTCTATTGGATGGGTTTAGAAGCGATGCCGTGTTTGTATCGCGAAGGAAGACATGAAATCAAGTTGATGGCTGTCACTGGACATTGGAAAACGGGAAGCCCAAAGCCTCCTTTCCCAGAGCTACTTTCTCCAGAAAAAAATAGCAAAGAGCTACTCCTGTAAGTGTTGCTGGGAATAGTTGGGGTCAATCCTGAGATCAGCTACTTTCACAATCATTTATCATCACATGTTCACACATCAAATGCTATCGGGAAGGTACCTGGAAAGAGGTGGCCAGCTACAGGTTGCAGACCCCTGGTATAATCCAACAAACATGTCCTTGGCCTTGCCACTCTGTCAAAGAGATGTTTAATCTCAATGGGTTTTTAACATTTAAATAAAGGTCGAAAAGGTAAAACTTAGTGCTTTATTGACATTATTCTTTTACCCTGTACACAATAGTAAACGACTTCACTAGCCACCACTGTCCTGAAGAGAGGCAGCCATCAGACATGACTGTCCAGCAGAGGGCGCACTATGAGTTCTCTGAACACTGGGAGCTGTAAACCGTGGCACAGTTAAATTCTCTCATTACTTTAGTGTTTAGTCTTGTGTGGGGGACTCTTATAAATAGTAATCCTGTTCAAAGTATGTGTGGAGAGTTGGATAGCCGCTTTATGTTATGATATTCTACGCACTAACATCTGAGCAGCAGAAAACGTGTTTAATGAAACCCCAGTTTACACAAGTTCATCAACTGCATTTCCCTTGGTTTGTACTTTTATTTCTGAACACATTAGTGGTTTTGATTGACAGATTGCTCTGTATTCAAGAAATAAAAAAACAGTATAATATCAAACAGGAGCACTGGACAGAGTTGGTTAGTGGGATACAGATGGACTGATGCAAACAGTGTTGCTAAAAGAGCCTTTGTTTTCTATGTTCAGCGTGACAATATTTTGTACAAAAGACACACGTGAAGCTGGAGTGTATTTGAAGTACTCTTGTTACATGGCTTCTTGCTTATACTTACATTTGGAATGTCATGTTATTGGAATAAATTAAAATGACAATGCTGCTAAAGAATAGAAAGTCTCAGGATCCAGTGTCGTAATACTGAGAAGACACCTCATTTTTGTGAAGGAACGATAATAATTAATAGAACTTTGTGTGTATAAGATGAGAGAGAAAAAAACATTCCCCAGTTGAAAAATCAGAGATGCCACTTCTACGCCTATGTAAAAAAAAAAAAAAATCTTGTATCTGCAATGAACAGACAACTAATTATTAATATCACAGTAACCAGTGGCCCTGCATACACTAAAAGGTTGCATATTCATTCATCCAGCAATTTATACTTTCATTAATTGTTACTTTGAACCAAACTTAGGGCCAGTGTGTGCAGTCACATGGGAGGAGCTCAGAATGGAGCCGCTGCTTCTCCATATCGAGCTGGCTCCTGCATACTTGATTGACAAAGCCATTTTAAAATGTCTTGTATCCACCAGCTTCTGCTCAAGAATATCACTTCAAAAAAGTAAAAACGGAAAAAGTATGAGGAGGAAAGAGAGTGATGCCCTGAGCATAGAGCAAGTGACAGAAGAGGTGTAGGGTCAGAGAGTGCTTGGGTCTGTGTTAGGCCCTGTGTCTTGTCAGGTGTGTGTGTGTGTGTTGTATGAGAGAATAAGCTTCGGCTTCATCCAACCAAAAAGTTTCAACTTTCAAACTGTGTATTTCTGTTTATTTTGTATCTTAGGCTTTAATCGTTTATTTTCTGTTTTATTTTGTATGAAACGTATAGGTTTGAAATAAATGATCAAATATTGGCAAAGTGAAGTAACAACTGAACTGGTGCGAGGGGGCAGCAACTCGCTAATTCATCGTACAGGAGAAAAAAAAAATCCAAAAATCCAAGAAGAAAGAGGAGGCTCTGGAAAAGAATCCAGGACACACTGAAGGGACTTTGCACATCTTTTTGCTGGCCTAGCAACACCTCAGGATTCCACCCAATGAGCTAAAGGAAGAAGAGGTCTTTTCACATTCTGTCACTGACAATTGAAATGTACAAATGAGGAGAATTAAGAACCCATTCGTTTTTTTAACTTGCGTCATCTGTAACTCCCAAATACACATTTTCCCCACTGCATATGTGTGTACAGTATATATAACCCAGGAGTCTCCAACCTTTTTCATCCAGAGAGCTACTTTCTCAGGACTTAAGTGTTAGGGGAAAAAGGAATCTATCAAATGGTGAGAAAAAGCCGAGGATGGGGCACAGTTACTCATTATTTATCATTTATTAAATTTTTAGGTGTGGAAATATTCTCCTGGTAGCTTCCGGGCCACAGGTTGGAGACCCCTGATATAAATGCTTGAAATTACAGGTGTAGATTAGCACTGCTGCTACAACCTGCATCTCTCCTTTTTTCTAATGTTTATTGTACACTGTCCCTGTAAAAATAAAAATCATACCAGACCAGACGAAACGAATGAGTTATTTAAGAACTCAAAAGTCTCAAAAAATTCTGAGCCTGTGCATAGACCAGGTTTTTTTTCTATTTTACAGTACATACATGAATGAATGAATGAAGGAACTTGTTGCAGCCCTAATCAAAACAAGTCAAAACCTCCAAAAACTCATCAATAAAAGTGTCATTAATGATCAGAGCTCAGAGTAACCACTTGTCCTTCTCTTTGTTGAAGCTCTCGGCCCATTGGCGCGTCAGCTCCAGGTAGTGCTCCGGCTGATTGGGCAGATAGTCTAAGTACAAACGGGTGGCGGTCTTCTTGGGGACCGCCCTCTCTATCTGCGTGCCCTCGTGCCACTGGTTAAACGACGTAATAGTCACAATCTCCGGCCTCACCGCCAGCGCCGCCTGCAGGGACGTCTCGTAGTACCTCCCGTTCACCCTGTTCCGCGTGTTGTGATTATTCCAAGGCCGCACCGCCGTGTCCACGTACCCCGGCCCCACGCTGGGGATAAACATGAGGTTATTGGAGTCGCAGAACGCCTTGACTGCCTTCCAGTTCTGGTGCGAGGAGCCGAAGGAGAAGCCGTTGGAGGCGAAGTAGGTGTACATGCCGTCGAAGCCGCTGGCCAGGATGTCGCTGGTGTGGCGCTCCTCCACAACGAGCGCCACGAAGAGCGCGTCGTAGGCCGTGCCCCGGAGGCTGCGCGAGCCTTTGGGCGTCAGCAGCTCGGCCCACGAGTCCGAGGGGGTCAGATACGAGTCGTAGATGTAGAAGAGAGGCAGGACCTGGCCCGTGCTGGAGCGCAGGCGGTAGAAGGCCCCGTGAGTGCCGTATCTGAGGGAAAGACAGGTGCGGGTCGGGAGTTTTTATACGTGTTGCAGTGATTTAGAGCAGCGTTTTTCAACCAGTGAGTCGTGGGGCATTAGTGAGCCTTGAGATGATGTTTGGTGTGCCTTTGAAAATGATCCAAAATCATCTCATTGGTCAAAATAATGTTAAAATAAAATAATGTGAGAAGATTATAAGAACCATTTTGCAATTTCTATATAATATACTTTGATGAGAATGAATGGCTTTGTTAATTAAGGCTGTAATTTCATTTTGGTATCAGTTTCAAGATACGGCTTGCTGCGGCTCAAAAAAGTCAGGGACACTGATTTAGAGCAGTGGGGCATAAGAACCCCATGTTATTAATGTAGGAAGGAAAACTCTTTTTGAGGATTAACAAGGGCTTACAAAAGATCTAACCAAGGTTTGCATTACCCTTTTACATTGTTTTAGATATCTTGAGCTATTTTATTCAACATGATTTTTTTATTTTTCTTAGCAGAACAAGAGCCAAAACTGGAGCAAAAATATGGTTTGTTTTTGCAGACAGAGGCCGAGTATTAAATATTAACTGCACTATACTGTAGGTTCAATGTGTATAATCAAATGAACAAAATGGCAGGTTTTCTCGAGAGAATAATGACCTTTAAAAGTATGTATGACATAAAAAAATCTAAAAATAATCCAAAAATAAATTATGTGTCATTTGTTCGGCTAGAAAGACACACATTGACTTAGGGCTGTGCGATAAAAATGCAAAATCTGAATTTTATTTTCTGCTTTGGACGATTTTGATTTTAAATAAATTATCATTAAAGTCACTGAAGACAGACTTTGCCCTTGAAAATATGTTTTGATCTTTCCGCTCAATATTCCAGTTTCAAAACAATTTTTTATTTGTTTCCCCCCACTATGTATTTAAAAAGTCTTGTAGAGACTGTGCTGATATTGCAAGTATAATTCATGTGCTGCTGGAACTCTCACAAAATCCTTATTCGATTTCACGATTTTCACATTTTTCACAAATTCAATTTTTTCAAAAGCTGATTAATTGCCTAAATTTAATTTATTGCCCAGCCCTACATTGACTCATATACAGTAGTGCTTGGTATTTCACACATATAGTGGAGTGGCTTTCATGGTTTAAAAGAAAAACAGAGATTATACAACCACCACTCACTGCTTCTTTTGGCGCACATCTTTCTCTGCCCTCCATCACTGTTTGTGAGTTTGTTTGGTGTATTATTATCCCAGCCCTGACTTACAGCTTTATCGGTAGGCTCTACATATTCCTATCTGCTCTATACAGTATGTGCATATGTGTGTGTGTGTGCATTAGGACACTGCCTTGTCATGATGTCCCCAGCTGTAATGCGAGCTAAAGCCTTCCCTCTCTCCCTCTCTCTCCCCCTCTCCCCCTCTCAGACACATCCACACTGGAGCGATCTATATTTAAACCACTGCTCTTCATCACGTTTCTGGATGAGCGTCCGTGAACCCACCTGTCGATGATGTACCGGATGTTTTCATGCATGCTCTGCTCCGTCCGGCCCTTGTACGGCTGGATGTGGAAGGCCACCTGCGAGAAACGGCGTGTTAGAATACCGAATGAAAGTCTATTTTGTGTGTGATTACAGGCTGCGGAGGAAAGGGTTAATGGATCTCTGCAGCCTGCGGAGAGTTATGTAAGCAACGTGACTCATGTTTGTACCGTTCCTTTACATCTGCGCTAAAAACAAAACAGATTCAAGGAGAAGGTCAACACAACTCCAACATTAGGCGGAAACTGGACATACTCTCAAAGGAAATATTTGCAAAATCAACCAGACGAGCTAGAGGAAGTGTGTGTGGATAGGGAAGTCTGGGCGTCTCTGCTTAGACTGCTGCCCCCGCGACCCGGCAACGGATGAAGTGGAAGAAGATGGAATGGAATGGAACTTTTTGTTTTTTGCCATGTCACAACATTTTTCCCTCATAAAAAACAGACTTGGAGTATTTCTTTAGATCCATCCATGCTAATACCAGGAAGTTCTGGCAGAAATATGTAACTCCGCCCCTTCTGTCCAAAAGCGCGTTCATGCAATATCAAGGTTGGACGTTCTGATTTGGAAAAAATAGAAATGAACGCTGCTAATCTCGTGAATTTGCGCATGATTGGATGAAAATATAGAGCCAAACTGAAGTCACCTACATGTTTCCAAATACATAGATTTCAAATATTACCTCGGCTTTTCCTTGTGCTCTTAGTCTTAAATGCATCTGCTGACCATATCTCAATAGCTTCCGGTTTACATGCCAGAAAATGGTTAAGCCCAGATTTGCCAAACAAATAGAAACATTTCCCACCTCACATTGGAGTAGGGCGAATTCTATTTTCTTTTTTTTTAACAAGTCCTTTAATTTACTGTTCAGATCAGCATAAGGAACTGGACTATAATGATTAATTGTCCAATTACCAACTCTGCATTGAAAAAGGTCTCTGAAGGATAAATTGCTGTTCAAACCTGACTTCTGGCGTTGCACACTGTCCCTGGTTTCTTTAGGCAACACACAATACACTGTCTATAATGTTTTCAATGCCCTCTCATAGACTGATGCACGTATAACATAACAATAAACTAGCACAAGTCTGCAACAGCCGACCCACATTCGTGTCATTTCTCCTCCTCTTTCCACAGAAGTATTTCTCAGATCCTTTTTTAGGCCAAGCACTCTGTCTGCTCTGCTTTCTTTGCACACAACACCAAGGACACACCATTTCTCTCCCCTGGCCTGCTGACACTGTTGGGGAAAGGGTATTGTGTATGACTGCTTTCACATACATATTCTTACTTTTATTTGTATCGGTGATAAAGATTGAAATGTTAGTGTGAGGGCTGACTCCACCTTCACCCACTCCAGCTGGGGGTGTAGGCTCCACCCTATGGCCTGAACCATGGTAGGATCAGGAGAGGAGGTTTTTTTGAGTTTATATTGTTTGCAATTGCCAATATTATTAACATTGAACATTATTAATGCTAAGATTAGTTACTTTTTTTATTTTTATCCTGAATCTATTTTAAATAAATGTATGTATTTGTTTTGTGTAGAAGTCTTACTACCCCCTTTGATTGCTAGCTGGTTTGATAATCTACTTCATATAATCCCCCAGTGTGTCTTGTGGTAGATCAGTTTGGCCATGTTCAGTTGTTCATTTGATTTTGGCCTCATTTATTTGTATTTTTGACATGTTTTTGGCTGGTTGAAAAGCAGAATATTCAAATTGTTTTGTGTGCTTCCTGCCCGCACATTGGTCCCTTATAGCCACACACATTTTTATTAATTCATCTTTTCTGTGCATTAGTGAACTCTATGCTTTGATTATAAAACAATATTCATGCCCATAAGTTTGTATATAGTATAGTTATTTAAGAAAAGTCATCGCCAGAAAAGGAGCTGCTTTTGTTCCATAAATCTCCAGCTCAAATGCCTGCTGTTATCTATAGAATTCCTGTTTAGTGCTATGAAAGGACGAAACCTCACATAACACGTTCATCTCCGTCTGTGAAAGAAGCCGGCGCGTTTCCATGACCACGGTGAGCCTCCTCATGGCGCCCGGACGCCCCGATCTTTTGAAAGGGCGTTAAGGTGATGCTGACAGCGCAGTTAGAGTCAATGACAGCTGTGTGAGAGCTGTGTGAAGCCAGCGCCGTTAAAGGAAACGAGGATGGTACAGTTGGTTCAGTTACTGACGGAGAATAAATACGTATACAGACTTTGGACAAAAAATAACTTCAATATCCACGATTGGTTTTGGTCATCAAAGAAGTCGTGATCAGACTGAATTTGAGCTACAAACTAAAACTCCATAATAGCAAAGTGAATGAACAGGTTTGCATCTGCACCAAGCCCCAGGTCTCCAAGATGTCTGCCCCATAAAATCAATGGCCTTTTTTTAACCCCCTGTTTTATTATTATTATCATTATCATTATTATTATTAAAGGCCTTTACCGAATGGTTGAAATGCAGTTTTTTATGGTATAAGTGTCTAGAACAGAATGAGAGGCCCCAAAGAGGTATATCACTCAGCCACAGGGCAGCATTGTGGATAGCACTCTCGCCTCTCAGCAAGAAGGTCCTGGGTTCGAATCCTGGTTGGAACAGGGCCTTTCTTAGTGGAGTTTGCATGTTCTCCCCATGTCTGCTCAGGTTTCCTCCAGGTGCTCCGGTTTCCCCTACCACTAAAAACATTGCTTCCGTCATCACCATGTGTGGAATGATTGGAACAATATCTGAACTCTGAACATTGTAAAGCGCTTTGGGTGACCTTGGTCTGTAAAATGCACAATATAAATAACTATTACTTACTTACTTACTATATTTCAGTTCCATACTTCAAGTAGACTCAAATAGTGATCCACCAAATGGCTTAGGAAACCATTAAAGAGTGAAGCAGAAATATATGCAGATAATATAATATATCCACAATTTGCCAGTGTGGCAGAGCACCACAGTGGGTCAAGTTAGGAAAAGTCATTAACAATAATAAAAGTATTTTTTAAGACCCCAAAATAATAGCTAAATGTATCCCAAAGCTTTGCAATGTACATGGCCAGACTGAAATTCCTCGGGAGAGTTATATCTTTACAACCGCTGGGATCTTTGCATTGAAACAGGAGCGTATTGCCCCATGTAAACTTTGTATCTACTTTTAGCCAGCCTAAATAAGGTTTTTTTTCTCAAGTTTTTGAGTTGCTGAGGATAAAATACCTATAATGCCGTTGTGGTGTTTTCTCCTTGAACCTATTCAGATTCCAGAGACACATTTTGACAATCACCAAATGCTACACAATTTGCGACACAATTTATGAACTCTCACATCAGAATAAGAGCAGTTTCTGTGTAGCTACGTAACTGCAGTGGACTAAAGGGGTCAGTCTATGATTAATTAGTAGAGTGTGCTGGAGGGGATTTATGGATCAGAGCGCGACTATAGTCTGGTCTGCTGCTCTGGGGCTGTCTGCCAAATAAGGGCATCCGAGTCCCGATTCACACCTTTTAATTAAAAGTCACTTTAAATGAGCAGAGACAGAGTTGAGAACTCTCTGATCCAGTAATTCAGCAAAGTCACTATGTCACATTTAAAGCTGGGGTTTCAGACTTAAGATAACACATGTTTGTTTGTTCCAACAGAAATAGTCTAAGTAACATGTTTTGCGGCCTTGCTCTAATGAGAAAACATTTTATCTTTTGAATACTTGGGAATCCCTATTTGACACTTTGGGCTGATCGGCTGAGTGAGGGTGGTTTGGTCTTTTACACTTTATGGTCTGAAAAAGCTGATATAAAGATGTGACAGAGGCAAAAAATTCCAGAGAAACATCTAGGATTTTATGACACAGTAAACATTTTGTATTTTGGGAGTTACTGTAATTAGCCCAGCTTTAAAGGCGCAGTGAGATTTGAATTTCTAAATCTTTTTTACACGTGTCCACAGATAACAAGTCACATGTGCGAATCATATTTTGGCTTATCTGAAGAAAAGTTTAAAGTGGAGGTATCCTTAGTTAAAATACAATGGATTTAATGTCCACATGTATTTGTGCTTACAATTTTAAAGATGAGCCAATCAGAGAGCAGAATGAGCTCTCAATTGTGTTTTTTAAGTGACATTTAGCTGGTTTTGGCTCTTCTGTTTCATAATAACAATCACACACACAACAAATTATTAATCAGTCTTTAGTAATGGCTGGGATTGTGTTTGTATTTGTAATGACTTTTACAGTCCACTAAGAAATATTACATACTGCTCCTTTAATAGAAACTTTCATTAACACTTTAGAGCTGTAATTTCTAACAATCAACTTTCTTTCAAACTTATACTAGCATCTTATCTCATGGAACAGTGAATATCCGAACAATGTTTATGTGGGTACAGGGAATAGACTGTTATGACAATACTTCCAATAGAGTTCCTGTGTTTGTCTGTGTGGTAGAATACCAAAATAATCAGATAATTGAAAAGGCAGGCGGTGACTTGGCGTGCGTGGGATTTTGAATGACATGTGTCTTTGTGTACATTGAAGCTGCCGCGGAAGAGAACTACTAACTAACATGAAAACTACAGGCTTGTCATGACTGCAGAACAAAAGCGAGAACTCAAAAGGTAACTGCAAAAATAAAAGATTTTATAAAGAAAAGTCAAAATAACTAAATCCAGGATAGAATAGGAATCCAATATCAAACCGGGGAGAAAACACAACGGGCCGACAACAAGAGGAGAGAAGCACAAGTGAAACAGATCAAGGGAAGGGGGGGCAGGCGGTCAATTGAACAGAAAGGAAGTATTCTCAAAAAAGACAAGGGAACCAATACACAAAAACAATGAAAAAATGAACAATGAAAAAGTCCACAGCAAGTCTGGCTGCTACAATCACAAGATGGGTTCAAGAAAAAGCCCTGGGAATCACTATTTGACACTTTGGCCTGATTGGCTGAGTGAGGGTGGTCCAGTCTTTTGCACTTCATTGTCTGAAAAAGCTGATCTAAAGATGTGACCGAGGCAACGTGAAAGAAATTCGAGAGAAACTGCTTGGATTTTATGACATAGTTAAATGTTTGGGGTTTGCGAATTACTGTAATTAGCCCAGGTTTAAAGGCACAATGTGTGAATATTGAATTTCTAAATTTTGTACATGTGTCCACAGATAACAGGTCACATGTGTACAAGGGAGAAGTGCTCAGACTCACAGAGAAGAAAAACAATACATCTCTGAATGATATACTGCTACCACATGAAGTAGTTTTCTTATCATCCATAAAAAAGAATCCAGCTGAACATAAAAATAAATGACAGATGGTGAAAAGTATAAAACCTACCGGGGTCTCACCAGTTACCTTGATGCTGTGTTTGTGGGCAGCGTCCAGGACCGCAGGGACCAGGTCTTCGGTGGGTTCTCCGTGGTCATCGGCCACTCCGGGGGGGTACCAGGACAGGACCAGCACCCCTAAAGCACACGCCATCCACAGAAGGGAGCGGGAAGGATCTCATTACGCTTGGATTTCGAACATGAACGGCACATTATCCTGTTATTTAGGAGTGCCCAGATAGCTACTCATTTTGTCATGAATTGACCGATCCACACTGGAATTATCTTCTGTATTTCTGCTCATGGAATGTTCAACTTGTTCCCGTCGACTGTTTGTGCCTGTCATTACACTGAACCATGTGTCTTCAGCTGCAGATAAAGGAATCATGCTGCTCAGACTGTGCTGCAGGTGCTGAAGTATAGAGACCATACCATATGGATTCAACCAAAGAAACTGGCAACCCACATTGATAAATGTTAAATGTGGCATTCATCAACATTGTTTCTTAAATGAAGAATAAATCAGTTTTAAAAAGTGGCTCAGAAAAAGACATCTAAAGACATATCTGTGTGTTTGTCCTTGGATCTGGGAAAACAGATTAAATATAAACAGTTTAAACGCGTACAGCTCCTTTAAGAACTAAGAACAACAACTTGTTATATTATCTATGAATATTTGATACGCTTTGACATGTTATATACACACATTGCACTTTAATTTGCCATTTTGGATAAATAAAACCCATCCATGCATCTATCTATCCGTATATGCTGTGTCTGTTATCTGAGATTGCATCATCCATCCATTGGACGCTGGGCTGACAGACCCTCACCCTGGCCCTGACACTTCTTCACTGGAACATATTGTATATTGAATGTTCGTCATATGAAGAAGGTCTAGGCTGTGGATTTCCATTTCAGTGCAATAGAAATAAACACCATGAAATTGCAGTCCAACAACCATGAAGAACAAGTTTTTCCTCATTACTCCCTAAATAATGTCTCACAGAAAGAAAGGTTTTTTCCCCCACTGTTTTTTTCACTCAGCACAGTCATTTTCTGCCTTTTCAAGTTGGAGAAGTTGTGTTTGGAGTGTGCTCGTGCAAAGTTTTCCGCTTTTTACAGTATTTAGCTATGTCATTATCTGGACTATTTTGAGTACACTAGTTCACACTGTTCAATGTAGATAATAAACGCAACCGTCACAACAACCCCAACAGTCTCCACGGGTTATCAAAGAGAAGGCAAGACACAACGGTCAAATTGGGCGTAGAGACCAAGCATAAATCCACTGGTGAAAAAAAATGCAAATAAAGCATTCAGCATCTCACTCTGGACCAGAACAGAGAAAATGGTCCAAACAAAGTGTCTACTCCATCTCTGCTGCTGTGACCTAAAGTGCTAATGCATCTTAATACAATTGTTAGGTACTATAAGAATTATGTTTTTATTTTGTTTTGTTTGGATGGAGTGTTTTCTGCTGCTAATGGACACCTGCATTTTCCAGTAAAATATATATCTACCTATCAATCTATCTACATTATCGATCCAAAGCATAAGTCTGAGTCTAGCTGGGTGTGCACTGTACCTGCTGCAGCCTCCTCGATCTGAGACATGTGGTTGTCCAGCACAGTGGGGTCCCTGGAACTGTAGGGCCCTAGCTCCGGGTAGAAGCTGGCCGCGATGTCCTCTGGAGGCTGGTGGTTCCCCTGGGGGTGACTGGCTGCGATCTTGGGGTCCCAGTGTGGCACCAGAACATGATCCCAGTGGATGTACTTCTGGTCCAGGCTGGGCGCCCCGTACCACAGGTAGTAGAAGATGTGGACGTCGTAGAAGATGCTGTACTCGCGGTCCGACCTGGTGAAGACCACTTTGGTGTCGCCGCGCCCCGTCTGAGTCTGCGGAGACGGGTTGGTGAGGTCTCTGCTCTCCCCTCTCCTCCGCTCGCTCCCGGTGAAGTCCAGCCCCGGGGCCATGTCGGAGAAGCCGTCGCTGGGCTTGAGCGTTCGCAGTCCCATCATGGTGCCGAAGATGAAGAGGGTGAAGAGGAAGAGCGCCACCAGAGCCTTCCGTCGCAGCCGAGTCATGGTGGCCGCCTGAGACGAAAGAGAAGTGGTCAGGGGTTTTGGTGATGGAACAGGGTCACTTGTAATGAAAGATTGTAGTTTTGCATCAGACAAGTAGATAAAATGTTAGGTAAAATATTTAAAGAAACAAAGGAAGTAAGGCTGAGTTCTAAAGGGACACGTGAGTATATTCAAAACGCTGCAGCTCGAGTCCTGACTAGAACTAGGCAGTACGATCACATTAGTCCAGTTCTCAGGTCTCTGCACTGGCTCTGGGACTCTGAGGAGCACAGGGACTGGCCTCCTGCTGGGACTCCGAATCAGAACTAAATATGGGGAGTCAGCATCCTTGCATAAGACTGAAAGTGTATCTTCACTCTTTTCAATGACCTGTGATTATTAATTTTACTGCCTTCTTTGACTGTTTCTATTGTTTTATTAAGCACTTTGAATGTATGAACTGTGTATAAACTGCATTGCCTCTAAAATCCTGGTTGTCCCACAGAAAGCTTCCCTAATCCTTCCCATCTCGCCAACCCTCTTCCTAACCTTTACCCTAGCCATAACCTGATTGTGATTCTTCAACACAGCTTTAAATTAAAAAATAGCAACAAAACATGAATAATTCCCTCTGCCTGGTGTTATAACATAGAATGAAATCTAGACATTTAGCACGCAATATTAGTAGTCAAATGAGTAGTCAAACTTATCATAAGTAGTTTCACGGATATGTAATAGTAATCACATTATAATGGTGTTACCCTTTCATTAACTCAAAATGTTATTGGGTTTGACCAATAGTAATTCCGGAAGTGACTGTGGGCGCCATTGTATTGATTTAGATTCAACCAGTGAGGCGTAACAAGGTTAAAAAGCCCTCCCTGTCAATGTCTCTGTAGTTTAGATTGTTAACCCTTTAGGCACTGAATTCATGGACCTGAATGAACCTCGGAGCGTGGGCGCCTTCATCGGGTCTGATCTTATAAATATCTTCACCATGTGCCAGATTTTCAGTTTATCCTCTGTGGTATTAGCTTGGTAAGATATTAGCTTGTTTTTGGAATCTAGGTTTACCTATTAATAATCTATTTTTTTCCTTTTTTTGCCTCAGCCTCCAGCCTCCAGCCCAGTCCAGTCCAGTCCAGTTTTATCTTTTTGCATACCTTTGTCATCAAAAACTTCTTCCTCTATTCTGACTTTTTGGTCTGCTAATTTTTTGATTCACCAACGTTATATCATATCTGTCTTTGTTTGTTTGTTTCTGTCCTGTCTCTATAATGTCTATGAACGTTTGTGTCTGATACAAAGCTTAAAAAACCAATAATAACCTGTGAAACGTTGGCCTTCACGATACAGGGTGGCTTGAGTATAATATCAGCAAAGAATCAATGATGCAAGAAAGGTCAGGCTGGATACTTAAAGGAAGTCTTTAATGCGACGATCGACGAAGTGCGGAGCAAACTGCAATTATCGTTCAGGGTTAAGATAGTGTCTGTTTGTGTCTCATTGAACAGAACAGTCTTATTGTCCAACAGGGAACACAGGACATAGACTACTTAACCAATAGAAACATGTCACTGCAAGAAGAATAGCAGGTCGAGTTCTCAGATTCAGATGCAGATTAGTTTAATTTATTTGACATTTTCAGTAAAACCACATTGGAATACATTTTCAAAAGTGTGCACAAGACAAGTACATAAATAAAACAAACTAAAAAAAAGTCCAGGAAATTGTTGTCACTGTGAAATTGATCTACAATAGTTTCAATCCAAGTGAAGATCAATAAAGTGCTTTGTTTAGACTGATAACATCTTGTGGAAAGAAGCCGTTAGCGAAACGTTCTGCGTCTCAACGAACGACATCTTCTGCCTGAGGGCAGAAGCTGGAACATGGCTTTTCCAGGGGCCAGAAGAGTCATTCACTGCTTTTAAGAGCTCTGTTTAAAAGTCTGGATTCATAAACTCCCAGAACTGACAGGTTTGGTGGCTGTGATGTCACCAAACCACACAGTCACAAAACCAACAGGCAAACTTTCAGTGGTGAACCAGAAAAAGTTAAGCAGGTTCATAGAGTTTCCGCAGAAAGTAACAACCTGAGCTCTTTGTGTATTCTAAGTTTGGACAAGTGTTGATGTATTATTGACCGTCTGGTTTACAGCGCTCTGTAGGAGGACAGTCGGTGTAGATCATGGCGTAAATCATGCATTCAGGCACAGCTAACTTCTTCACACAGTACTTACTGAGATACTATCACCATTTGTGTCCAGAGCTCGTACTTGTAGCAATACAGTGCCCCGCAGTATAATATCACATAAATCGTCAGGCATTAGCTATACCAATAATCGTTTTTGGTTTCAAAGTATGGTTCTCCAGCCTTAAAATAATTATAAGGGTTATACAAATACATATTGCCAAATACCACTTGCTACGAATGGAAGTGTATCAATAATTGATGATAATTTGATAAAGTCCACTCTGTAGACTCCCTTTTCAATTATTGCTGTGGATCAGTTTTCTGAAAGTGAGAGCATTGTTACCAGAGCCAGCTGTACCATAAATAGACCATAGGTTAACATGGGAACGAGATACTATCACTGCATACAGTAGTAGATGGCTCATCCTTTGAGTCAGTGTGCGAGTATTACACATTTGTCACTATTTCACAAGGACGCAGCCACTTTAAAACTAGAACTCTTTATAACTTTGAGATTTTATCTGTTCCTATATGTCTTCTATTTTTATGAAATTGTCTTTTGCTATTGACATGTGTCAAGTTCTATCTTTAACTTCCATTGCAGTCATTTTGACTGCTCCATTCATTTGAATTTAAGATTCAGTTTTGGTTGCTTGGCAACCAACATACTAAGGCAGTTGAGGCCCTTATTCTCATGGTTCTCTGCTGGTTTCTGGTTCTGAAATAACACATTTATTTGGGGAAATGTTCAGAATTTCTTTGATTTGAGTTCTATTACTTTCACAATTCTGGAAGGTCGAGTGTTAATGTAAGGGCAAATCAGTACAAATATGTGCTTTTAACTTTAAATTTCACAGAAAAATAACTTCATATGTAGAATTGAAAAATACTGCTAGCATGTTTCACTATGAATCAAATATTACAGTCATTTAAGGCACTGAGCTCTTTAAAACACGTTCATTCATGTTAAGATATTGTTGCATATCTCCAAAACAACTTGAGATCACGTTTCTCTGCCCATTTCGACCTGATAGCTCTATATTTAACATTATTTCCCTTTTCAAGTACTAAGCCTGGCCTTAACCATAGCACTGGTGTGCAATAGTACAGTCAGTCTCGCTGTCCGTGGTGCTGAACTCGGCAGCACCCACACAGTTTAACCCAAACCCGAGCTAAAACACCTCCAAAACACATTCTCTCTCCAACATCAGGGCTTACGTGATGAAACAACACCAAAACATAGCATTTCGCAGCCACACAACTCCAACAGAATGACAGCTTTAGGTCCGCTATAGCCTTCGCTGTATCACTTGCACTCGACCTTTCCTTCATTTATGTTAATCTAGAGCCTGTAGAGTGTATAATATTTACCTTTTAGCCTGCACTCCTTCGTCAGAACGTCCCGAGTGCCTTCAACCCATCTTTTCACCTCAATATCTGCAGATAATTGAGGCTATAAATGCGGGTATGGTCGTGTGTAGGAGCAGGCGAAGCGCATTTCCGACTCAAGCGGAGGGCGGGATTAGAATTATGTAGAGCGAATTTGATTGGCTCCTGGTAATCTCAAATTCGAGGCTATTGGATAGAAGAAATAGACAGATCCGGAAAAAGAGCAGCTTTTGCCATGTTTGTTATATTAACCATATTGCAGAATAGTGTGTTGCAATAATATTCTATGTGTGGAGAGAGGGAAAATCTAATACAATTGAAAAAGATTATAATATTTCCTGTAAATGTGAGACCAAATCCAGAATAAACTGTACTATTTAGGATTGTAACTTCCTTCAGTTGTTTATGATTGTAATGCCTTGTGTGATTTTGATGCTTCTCGTATTGTTTTGTTAAGCACTTTGAGTTGCCTTGTGTATGAACTTTGCTGCACAATACATGCAATACATCGACAATACACTTGCTTTTCCTGCCTTACCTATAATAATGAATAATAGTAACAGAGTCCTTCCAGGGTGTGTCATTCAAAGGGAAAATAACACAATAATGTTGTCATAACTTTTTCCATCTAGAAAATCGTACACAAACTATGATGATATATACAATAATTATAACATATCACCATATAATACTGATATTATTATTAATGACGATGCATTTTTCCAATGGAATACATTTTGTCAATATGTCTTTTTTTGCTTTGAGGAAAATGACAACAAGAGGCCTTATAGATTTTTGTATCTTTAGCCTTTGAGATATCCAGTGGCTCAACTTACTCCCCAACTTACTTTCCCATACATGTTATTTTTTGTCCAATAAACCAAACCTATAAAGTACATCACTTACACTGGTGCTTTCAATTTCAAAGATTAAAATTGATCCAAAACAGAACAAAAGTTATAGTTATAGTTAGGAAGAGGTGATGGATTTCTAGACGGATGCTGAGCATGGATCTATTATAATAACGATGCTGAGCTCAGCTTCAGTCTTGTGGAAACAGACACTGACGCGTATCAGCCGCAAGAGGGCGTCATAGCTGTTTCCTCAGAGAAAAAAAACAGTTATGTAATACATTATGTGGGCCACTTAAATGAGACTGGGTCATATTTAGGCCGTGGACAATCCTTAAAGAATCGTACACTTTAACGAAATTTGAAACACTATGATACTATACAATCTAATGTTTAGGAGCTATATAAAGTGTATAAGCTGTATCACACACACACATACACACACATACACACACACACGCACAGGTACATACAGGCAGATGTCATTCTCATACATTATTTCCCTGTGATTTCTGAAATAGTGGAATTTAAAATCTCACATCTGTTTGTCCCAACAGAAACAGTGTTGTAAAAGTAAAAAGGAACTGA